TGCGCGGGTCGTCCAGATTTTCGTAACTGTCGCGAGTTGCAACAATAAAAAATTCCCTAGCTAGTGCTGCGCGTCTTGGTCGTCTCGGTTCTTCGTTGGTCTACTCTATACCAAAATGTAATCAACAAAAAAAGCTGCTTGAAGCTCTGCACTTTTTTCACCTATTACGTCCAAGCTGATTACATTTTTTTTTTGTGATTATATTTCTATTACGTTACTGGAGCCTCGCCCACTAACTCCCGAGTGTGCGATGCAAAATTAAAATGAGATACCCGGAGACCCGTTGCAGCTGCCCTGAAGTCGCTGACGCAAATTTTGAGGAATGTATTTGGAAAAGTATTTGAAGGAAACGAAATACATTTGGTTGTATTTGTATCTTGTACTTAAATGCTTTTTTAGAAATGTAATTAGATTTGTAATTAAATACATTTTTGACGAAGGGGTTTGTATTTGTATTTCGATACATATTTGCACGTATTTTGCCCATCCCTGACAATTTTGAATTCCTCGAAAATTTTCCCCTTTGTTTTCCGTACCCACTTGCCCGGAATAGGTATTTTATCGAGCAAAAAATCACACGAACGCTTATCACAGTGGACTGCCAAGTTCCACAAGGGAGGCCGCTTTACAGAAAGTACATGCCCCGTCTACGATCTGGTTGTGCACGAAAGCACCCGATGTCAAAAGCCCGTGTCAAATGCCCCACGACTGACACTCTACCCTTTTGCGACGCCTTTAAAAGTCTAGCTTTATCAGAAGCCCATGACACGAATCCCCAGATCATATGGCCGGGTTCTCCCCGTGACGGCGGAGCATTCTGCTTTTAATGAAGAGACAGCAAGTGTGCACGCGAGCGTGTGTAATGTAATCATGCCGTCATTTGTAAACCCTTAACATATTAGGATAAGACATGAAACAATGAGGCTACACCCGCACGATCGCCCACATATGGTTGATATTCGAGACTACAGATCTGGTGCAATCCACATCTTTGCGTGCATTTTGTTTAATTAATGCGCATGCTTTGCTGTTTTGTTTATGTTGAGGCATAACCTAGATAGCTTCGCTGGTGCCCCGAGGCAACGCGAAAGTGGCTGACGATTTTCTTAAAAATCATATTGCCTCTTTTTTTTTTTTCGTTGGGAGACATTTGACTTATCATTCTCTTTTTAATGTTGACATTAGGCTTCAAGCTGAGTTCGGAGCGTCGTGTCTGCCAGACACTTTTTGTCTTCTTGCTCTAGAGCTGTCATGTTTAAGCAATCTCTACCACATTGGTTTTTTGGATATCCGGCAAGCAAATACCAGCAGAGACAAACGAAAGAATTTAAGCGCCCTTCCCCCGCAAGGGGGGGAAGGCGCACGCACCGACGGCCTCGAAACGGAATGCTTACAAGTCGCTCGGCCTGGTGCAAGACCTCTATCTTTCCCTAGGAAAGGGCGAGAGAGGGTAATGAGAGAACAGTTCCCTTCCCGTTTTCCCCACACTGCCCCACACCATCAACAATCTCTTCAAATCTCTTCTTCGTAAGTGAAGAGGACTCGTCCTTGAGGGAGGACTCCCTTCATTTCTAAGCTGACAGTGTCGAGCGAGCTAAGCGCCCACCGGACCAGTTATCACCTGCCTCGCTCTCTGCGCCTGGTTACAGGAAGGAGCGTGATCACGTGGTTAAAGACAGACGTGCGATTAGTTCACCGGGCACCCCTTAGCTTCTTCTACACTTTCAGCTTAGGAGTGACGGAGCCCAGCACGCAAAACACACACAGACTAAAAAAAAAGATAAAAAAAAGTAAAAAAGAGGACAAGAAAGCGTTGAGAGGCGCGCGGCAAAACGCCGTCGAAGCGGATCTCTTTGCTTTGGGGCATTTCGCCATCGGAGCGGCGGAGGGAGGCCCACCCGAAAGCCGGCGCACTCAGCTCGCGGACGAAGACGTCTGCCACGTGATGTTTACTGGCCGTACCGTTGGCCCCGCTGCGTAGGCTCGCTCGCGCGGGAACCACCGCAGGCGGTGTGACGACGGCAGCTCTTCCATGACTTCGCTGCCGCGATCACCTGTCAATTTAACCGCGCTCAAAAAGGTAAGTAGCTCAATTTTGCATGCGCCTTGAGAGATAATCGAAGTGCAGAAGGAATGAAAGACGCGTAACTTAACGCGATAGCGCGTGTTGTGTCAGAGAACGCGCTCAACCTTGTTGCTTCCGCTTTCCCCACTCAGTTGCACCAGAGCGACGCATCCTCGCATCAGACTCGACTTGATTGACGTGTGCAGGACAAGGGCTCATTGCCATGGGAGTTTGGTTTGTTCTAGTTTCTTCCAAACACTTTTTGTTCGTACCTTTTCGCTTTCCGGCGCCGTAAGAAGAACGGAAGAAATCGAGAACACTGAACCGCGCTTGTTGAATAATTATAATGGGCACTCTCGCGTGCTGAAATTTAAGAGAGCATGTCATGTTTTCTTTAGTTTATATATCTATATAAAAAAAAGTTATTGACTTAATCAGTGGTGTGTTCGTTTCACATCGTGCATCCCCGCTCCGCGAATGCGGCCACCGGACGGTCATGTTACATGTCGAAAAATTGCCTTTTTGAAGCGTTGCGGAGGCTGGCGGCAGCGTGCTGAAGATATGTGTTCTACTCGTTCGTCGCTATTCGCCGAAGAAGTTATTTAAAACCCTGTGTAAGCCGTGAGACTTGCCGTTGAGAACACGTGAAAAGGTTTACGGAAGCGCAGTGCCGCAGGAAAAAGGCGCAACTCGTCGAAATCAAGTTTACCGCGGCGTGATCAAAGCTTCCTTGGCACGCCGAAGCGCTGCGTCTCTCTGCCTTCGCGTGCTCGGATACCGATCAAGACTCGGCGCCGCGGCATAGTTTTGAAGGTGTGTCGCGCGTAGATGTCTTTGCATCATATATCGGGCACGGAGTTCTGGGTCGTCCAGCTGTTCCGGTGAGTTGCTATGAATAAAGGGGGAAAACAACATGCAGGGTTGCTCTTATTCACTATAAACCATGGCTATTAACCATGTTCGATATCTGCTCTAATGGATCACATGGCAGCACAAGTAGAGCAACGCTGTGGCGGAAGTTTGGTTTTCGAAGGCAAAACTACAAGACAGCGAGAATTAAAATTTTTGAAGCGCGACCCATACGGTCGTGCAGTCCCTTGGCCAATCGCAATTAGGCGAGTCGTGCTCAAACGTCAAGTGCAATAAAGTAGGTTTATAAAGGTTCAGCACTGATCAGTGATGAGGAGCAGTTGTGCACAATATTCTGTAAACCATCCAATGACGAAAAAAAAGACGTACTGAGTGCGACACAGTTTGTGCGAAGAAGTGATCGCTGGTTTTTCCAATTTTTCTCTATGAAAACAAGGGATGTCATCCAAGTTATTATTGGTATGGAAAGAGCTCATATAATCTAAGCAAAAACATTTCGTGCTCGCTAATACTAATTGGAACTAAAATGTGCCGATGTCGTGTTCGCGCTAACAGTGTCGTGATGTGTACCTTCCCCTCCTCGTTCGTTGCCACTGGCCACTGGATCAAGCTCTTTCTGCACGCGAGTGCGGAAGTTACAAATACAGTCGTCGGGGTAAAGTAAAACGCTGCTTCAGAAGCACATATGGCTTCACACACATTGCACTCGCAAAACACATTTACACGTCGATTCTTGACTGTTGTCCGAGCATACGAAGGCACAAAGACGCAGCGCTTTTGTGGGCCAGGGAAGCTTTGATCACGCCGCTAGACCGGTGAAACATGCTTTCGACAAGTTGTGCCTTTTTCCTGTGGCACTCGGCTGCCGTAAAAATTTCCACGTTTTCTCGACGGCAAGTTTCACGGCTTACACAGGGTTTTAAAAAAACTTATTTGGCAAATCACGACAAACAAGTAGAAAACATGTCTTCAGCTCGCTGCGGCCAGCCTCCGCCACGTTCCAAAAACAATTTTTCGACGTGCAAGATGGTTGTTCGGTGACCGCACTCGCGCTGCAGGGAGCAAGTGGGGATGCGTGATCCGGCAATTGTCATAGAGGCCAGTGGTTCGTTCGTTTCGCGGTAGGCCTACCGGGCGAACGACGACCGTGCTTGCATAACGTACCGCAGGATGGCGCCACCGACATCCTTAGATGCTGGCTGGAAGCAGACGATGCGGTGCCACCTGCTTTTTTCGCTGATTTATTAAATACTTTCAATGGATATGATGTGTTTCCGCTCGATAATAAATAGGACTGAGGTACACGAACCACTTCTGTCCCACTGTGAGCTGAGCAAGCACTCTGCCAAAGACGGAAAAAATTTTGTCCTTTCATGAAATTAAGGAGCCCCAAGCTACTCGCTTATATTTCCCTACGTAAAAGCAACTATTAAAATATGTGCTCGGGCAAAAAGTAGCCACTTTCCGAAAAAAGTGTTAAACTTTTACTTTCCCTTTATAGTTGCTTCCCTTTGGCTGGAACTATTATTGATGCCTTGCATGGGAGGAAGTGAGGTGTCAATCATTGTTTCAGTGGCCCCGATTACTTGAGGAACACTCGTATGACTCTTCCTCGCTATATTTGCATTTTACAGGGATGCTGAACCGAAATCTGGATTCCACAAAACACGGCGGCAAAAGCGTGCTACGGGATGCTACAAACACCAAAACATCACCCATATAGCAATATCTCGAACATATTTTCTAAAAAAAGGAGGCGCATTTGACAGATATGTTGACGTCTTGTTTCTCCGAGAAGAGTCGAGAAGGAGAGGGAACGGTCTCGCGTCTTCCCCGCCTCGCCGCCTCGATGGGGCGAAGCGAAGAGAGGAGAAAACCAGATACGGTTGACGCCACGTCCCTCGTCGGCCTCGTTCAATCTCGACCTCTTTTTTTCAAAAATTCCATTCTTTTTCCAAAAGTCCATTCGAGAGATCGCCTTACGAGTAGTGTTGTAGGGATTGTAGCGTCCCACCTACAGCTCCTGCATTGTTTTCTGAAATCCAAATTTCGGTTCACCATCCCATTAAAGGGCAACTCCGCTTCATTTTTGATATTGAGAAAACTATGTAGCCCTCTTCAGCATCATATAGGAAGACCACATGCCAAGTTTCGCGATGTAATTCCGTCTAAATATTTATTAATCTGGCCAGCAAACTTTCAAACGAGCCAAGTCGCCGAAATCTGCTAACTCTAGCGCGCGACGTGAAGAGCAATCAACAGCGCTGTCAATACCACGGATCTGGCGCAGCCAACAGTGAGCACCTACGTCAGAGGCATGCGTATGTCAGTTCTATGTTTTGGTTGTTTTTACTTCTCCGGGCGAAATTGAACGAAGACGTCGTGAGTGGAAGTGGCTCCTCCCGGCGTTGCGTGTTGGCTCTGTCCACATGATCACCGTAAAACGCATGCGCCAAGTTGGGAGCAGACGCACTCGTTTCCTCGTTTCGCCTCTGCTGCAGTAGGAGCAGTAGGAGGACGGCGTTTTGTGGTTTTGTTACGGTTCGAGCGCGGGCAGCATCCCCGAAGCCTAGCTGCGATGCCTCGCAGAAGGGCCATAGGCTCACGATGTTGTGTTGCTGCCTGCTTGAACTATCAGTCGACCAGCCCGGGAGTTGTTTTTCACAAGTTCCCTCGCGACAGTGCGCGTCTCATTGTTTGGACAGACATCGTGCGCCGTTGGAACTCCGAGAAGCCGTGGTCGCCAAATAGCAGGACATTGATCTGTTCTGACCACTTTTTGCCCGAATGCTACCAGCGAGATCTGCGCTTGTTCTGCGACGCTGGGTTTTCAACCAAGTACGCGCGTCTGGATCAAAACGCCGTGCCGTCGATCCTCGATCCTGGATCCTCGCCTTCCGTAACAGCCGACGGACTGACGCCGGACGCCGTGTCGTCGTACCTCGTTCCTCGATCCTCGCCTCCCCAAACAGCAGACGAATCATGCGTGAAGCGTCGTCGGACCGGGGTACGTATATTCCTCGCTCACGTCGCGCTGGCCGATGCTTTTGTCTCTGTTCGTGCGGGCGAGCACGTGCGATCGCAAGCCTGTTGAGGCGACATTCACGAGCACGTCGCACGTGAACGCACGCGAACGTTTTGTGCTATATATCAGTAGAAGTGAGTGCGCGTGTCCGCGCGCGGGCTGGCGTGCTCTTGCAAACGCTCAAACGGCTGTACGAACTTTACCCAGGACTGAACCGAACCTGAAATTGGGAACCGTAACTCTGAACACCGCCGTTATGTACTATAATATTAATATATTTCAATAATCTATGCTGTTACCAGTAGAAAGTACATTTAAGAGCAAACAAGTTGTTTTCAAAACCAGTAATCTGAACAATATATCCGATCATTATTGCAAGTTAGACTAGAAAACTGTTCGTTTGTTTGGCGACCAAGATATTCTAATATAGGCATCCAATTGGTATTTATGTTGACACTTGTTGCACATCGTCATTTTAGCACATGGCAATTCTTTCCACCTCCACTCTCTCCTCTTCCTCCCCACTAACATTCTGGCTGACTCCCAGACGGCCTGCCGGCACTTCCTTCTCACCACCTTGCATCTATCCACTGTGTCCCTACTCGACTCCTTCCTATACTCCACCTCCCACACTTTCCCGTTAGTCTGGGTGCCTGGGCTGTGTGTTTGGGCACGCAGCCGTCCCTGAACACACAGCTGTCCCTGGTAATGAGTGTGCTTGTGTACTCGCCCGAGAACTCTCACACCGGGAATATGGGGAAGATATGGGGTTGCCACCATCCGACCAACTGAACAACATTATTCTCCTCAGCCTTCTCTTACTCGCCGACAGGGCGTTCTATGACATCAACTCTTTTCCCACACTTCTCCACATGGTCTGGTAATGCCAGGACATTCCCTCTGTCTCGCCTCTTCCCAACCCCTCCCCCACCTCCTGGGAGGAGCGGCAGACCGATGACGCGGCCACTGGCCAGCAATAGCAGGTGGACCGTGCCAAATTGGTGGCCGCCATTTTTGAGGCCCCGGACTTTGGGCTTCACCTGGGGGTGCTGGAACCCATCCCTACGATAATGTTTATTCATTCATTATTTTATAACTTTCGCGCGGCCCTTACACTTAAACTAGGCTATAGGGTGTGTTATGAACAAATCAAAGACAATAAATATTGACCGATTGGTTTCACAGAGCGGTGACCACTGTAGCAGCAGCAGCAGCACAGTGTCGAAGAGCAGTAGCTTGCCAGTGGTCACTACATGGGATGACGACTCCAAAGCACCAACATATGAGTCATCGCTGGATGCACCAGTGGCTCGAGAAGAACCTGTTGGTCAGAACCAAGCCAGAACAGCGTGCCTTAGCCAAGTACGTATTTTTGTTTTCATTGGTACAAATTAGCCATATCTTATGCATGAGCATGGAGATAACATTGTTATGAGTAACGAAACATGTTTACTAATACTGAACGTGCAGGTCCTTGGCCCGCAACCAAAAAGTGAATCATCAACAGCGTCTTGCATTGTTTGATATAAGGTGGTGTCAAAAAACAAAATTTCACTTCCTTCGATTGCACTTCGGAGTGCAGGGGGCGGGGGTGGGGGGGGGCCGCGGGCTGCATCCACCATTTGCCCTATTCGTTACGTGGAGGCGCTTGTTTATGAGCGAAGTTTTGCGGTGTTGGTGAATCCCACAAAACCTAATCAGCATCTCTACCGACGGCAGAGCTCAAGAAGCACCATCGAAGACGCTCTTAGGCCTCACATACCTTTGTTCACTACGCTTTTCTGTCCATCAAGGTGGCCCCGCAACACCGACTGGGGCCATTTTGGCCACTAGTGAGCCAATTCCTCAAGTAACAGATCCTCTAAGCTCCGAATAAATATCAATATGTATGAAAATTGAGTACCAGCCGACGCTCCTTTGCATTGCCGACTTCTTTGACTGGCGCAGCCAAACACAACGCAAAAAAAAAAAAAATTGCGCAAGTTGGAAAACATTGTTTCCGCCCGCAGGAAAGCAAAGGGCTAAGGCCCACAAACTAAGAATTCTACCGTGGGTTTGAGCAGAAGGTATATCATGTGAAACCAGCCTATATGTACACAAACGCAACTCTGTTATGTCTCGGCGTGGTGGTGGCGCGTCGGGCGCACTTCCGGTATGGGCTGTGGGCCGAAGACCCCATGCGAGACGTGTATTCCTGCATTGAAAGGAACCACACAAAGCCTGCCTTCTAGTCAAAATGCCGCAACTGAGGATGTACCAAAAAAGTCGAGAGGGGTTTGAAGGTCAGTTTTCACGTGCTCGGTTTGTCCCAGAACATGGATATGTGTCGTGAAAAGGGAAAACCAGACGCCGTCGGACCATGATTGCTTGAACGGGAAGCGCTTTGGGTTGAAATCACGGATACTTGTAGTCATCAGCTTTATTTGTTTTGTTCCAACATAACGCCGGAGAACCGTCAAGTTGTGCGGACCACCACTACGCGAAGTTTTGCGGTGTAACGAGCCTCGCTAATTTCGCTGATTCCGCTCAAGTAGTCGGAGATTGCCAGGGCAACAATTCGAACGCGAAAAAGGGCAGGGGAACTCACACCGACGCTTGAAACGTTTGAAAGAGCAGACGACAGTTCGAACGATCAGGCAGCCGTTTGAACTTGAAGACGCACTGAACATGGTCCGCACAACTTGACGGTTTTCTGGCGTTCATGTTGGAACAAAGCAAATAAATCTGATGACCACAAGCATCCGCAAATTCAACCCAAAGTGCCTACCGCCCAAGCAATCGTTGTCCGACGGCGTCTGCTTTTCCCTTTTCACAGCACATATCCAGATTCTCGGGCGAACCGAGCACGTGAAAACTGACCTTCAAACCTTTCTCAACACTTTTGGTACAGTCCCAGTCACGGCGTTTTGACGAGAAGGCATGTTTGTGTCTAGTTTCTTTCAAAATAATGCAGGAATGCACGTCTGGCATGGGGACTTCTGCCCACGGCCCCAGACCGGACGTTTGCCTGACGCGCCACCACCGCGCCGTGACGTCGCAGAGTTGAGTTCGTGTATACACAAACTCATTTCTGTTACGTCACGGCGCGGTTGTGGCGCGTCGGAAGCACTTCCAGTCCGGGGCTGTGGGCGGAAGTGCCCATCTGAGACGTGTATTCCTGCGTTGTTTTGAAAGCAACCAGACAAAAACCTGCCTTCTTGTCAAAATGCTGCGACTGGGGCTGTACCAAAAGGGTCGAGAAAGGTTTGAAGGTCAGTTGCTTGGGCGGGAAGCATTTTGGGTTGAATTCACGGATACTTCTGGCCATCAGATTTATTTGTTTTGTTCCAAAATGAATGCCGGAAAACCGTCAAGTTGTACGGACCACCTGCGAACTGCGTTCAGTGCGTCTTCAAGTTTAAACGGTCGCCTGATCGTTCGAACTGTCGTCTGCTCTTTCAAACGTTTCTGTTTGTCGTCTGCCCTTTTAGAGGACACCGGCCCGTAGACCAAACGTGGGCCCGGCACTTGCGATAAGAAGTAAGTGCAGGCCTCAAAAGACTTAAGTTTGAAGGTTGGTAAGCAGGCTCGATGTAAACAGTAGATACGAGGAGATGTTGATCATTGTTACCAGTGGCCATCACCGACTTGTTAGGCCTGATTCACTTGGTTAGATTCTGCTTGCGATTTTCAGTATTGACGTCGACCATCTCAGCTACGGTTCACGCTTTTGCAGTCCGAGCGACGTCGCTATTGAAAATTGCGAGTGAAATCTCATCATGTGAATCAGGCTCTAGCTATTCTGCGGCGTCCACGCGGAATGAATCGCCGCATGTCAGATTATTCACGCGAAGTTTTGCGGTGTAACAAGCCTCATTAATTTCGCTGACGCCGCTCAAGTAGTCGGACATCGTTAGGAGGACGTAGAATCAACAATTCCAACGCGAAAAAGAGCCCGGGAACTTACACCGACGACGACAACATCGCATTTCAATGGTTTGTTTATGGGCGACGGTGAGCTTCTTGCCCACACCCCCATCGCGCATACGCGGCGCCGGTGGCGTCCACTAGGGGCGCTCCGGTTTGTTTGTAAACATGAGTTGGTGTATACCGGTTGTAGTAACTATCGCACTGCTTTTACAGAGCGGGGACCAGGCTTCCGCTTCTGGGCCAGGGTGCAACAGCAGCACCGCCGCTTTATGCGACACCGTGCCAGCAACTACTGCAATTGATGGCCATTTTGAACCGCACTTGGAGCCGCCCATCTGCCACATCTGTATGTGTGTGGTAACGAGAGGTATGTAGTGACTTGGTTCACCTTATCGTGTAATGACAGAATAGCTTTATCAGTCTCTCTCTCTCTCTCTCTTTGTGCAATGTTATTCGAGTCTATATCTGAAATGTAATGTTTTTTGGTGTGCCAGGTACACCGACACTGTCTGTGGACAAAGCTGTGCAAGCCTTCGAGGAGCTTTGTCAGACCTCGACTGAAAATCCGGCACTGCCAACATCTTCCGGTGAGTAGCTGTGGTGGCTTAAGAATATAGTGCTATCTATGTAATACAATTGTGACGAGAGTTTTAATAGTATACATAACATAGATGCATTATGTCCGTGTTTCCCCGAGTTTATTTTTGTCAAATTTGGAAAGTGTTATTTGGACTTCATTATTCTATGAAAACAAATTTTAATAGTGTGAAATATTTACAATGAGCTCATCTATGCATTTCAAAACAAGCAAGTGTGCTTGTATTTACTACAAGCTTGCTGTAATAAATACAAGTGCACATGTTTGTATATGCATGAAAGTAAATGTCGCCTCGCTGTTGCAGGTGCCACAGAAATGTGCCGTGAAAGCGCAGGTTGAACAACATAGTAGTATAGCAACTTCAGCTTCACGCACCCCCATTCAAGTCACTTTACCCGCACCCACTGATGGAACTATGCTGTCCATGGTGACTATGGTCTGAACTTGAGACTGGAACAACCGCTAGCACCGTTAGACGTACAGCCTTATTTCTGCCGTGACCTAGAAATACATTGCCTTGTTCTCTGCAAAACCAGACACCCACCGTCTTTCTCAGGACCGACGACCCTTCGCACTGATCCAACCTGATCTTTATTGCACGCTTTTTTCTTTTCCCCGGTCGGTGTGACCTTCAAAATCCTATTTTTTTCGGATGAATTCGAATTGACAAAAGTTTTACAGGCAAATGGTTTTTGGATTTCATCGGCTTTATTTGAAAACACAGAACCACCGTTATATCATAACCATGGTGTTGAACCGCCGATTTTGTGTTTTGTTGTGGTTTGGTCTTGGTTCCAGCATGCCTGCTAGATATTAGTTTGGTTACTGCCGCTACCAAGCATGAACTGGTTCCAACCAGTTCATAACACTACCTTTGACTGTGGCCATTCATGCATTTCCCTCATCTTTCGTTGAGCCTGGGCTATTTGCAGTTGCATGGCAGAAAGGTGGGGACCTAATGTTTTTATTGCGTCAAAATAAACTTGGAAGGGTGAGAGTGACGGATATATATTTTTGCTCATCAATTGTAAAAACTGCACTGCATCACAAGTCATGTCATGCACACTGTTACTGTGCATGTTAAGCAGTTTTGACACCATAATGTTTGCTCTGGCATTCAATCTTTTCCAGGCATGGTTGGCCAAAGCCCTTTGGGGAGCGAGCCAGCTGTTCCCGGAAGTCCCCAACAAGCCCAAGAGAATTCTGCAGACGTTGAGCAAGAATTGCGCCAGTGGTGCTCTACGCCTACAGAGGACAAGACGCCAAGCCCCTTGTCGTTGGAGCGGGATGCCACTCCCGAACCCTCAGAACCTGGGGCATCGCCTTCGGACACCAGTTACACGGAGGCCGCCTTCCTGGACTCCGATGAAGATATCTGCCCTGAGCCAGATCTGTTGGACGAGAGTTACAGGCCGGATAACTCTTTCAACTCCGATGATGAACCGGATTCCGACACCAGCATCTGGTCCAACGACTCTGTGCACTCGGACGGTGCAACAGATGTCGAGTATGTGTCCACTGTAATTTTTAAGAAACCAGAACTCCATTTTATGAATAGGATTAAGCTAGGTCTACCAATCTGGAAAACTTGTAATTATCTGGGGCTTTTCTTCACCTGCAAAAGTTAGACAAATATAAGGGAAACAGTCAAAAAGTTGGCTATATCAGGAGAAATGACAAATGGAAGTGGCACGGCAGTAATAACGAAGCTTTACAGTCGCACATCGGCACAGCTGCACCCAATAATGTTCCCTGAAACATCATTAGATAGTGCAAGCCATTACCTAATTAAATGAATAATTAATTAATTTATTATACTACCAGTTCCTAAATGAAACTTTAGTATGGTGGTTACATGGGTGTTTCTTATCATACATACAGTTTATGGTGCAGTGGAGGAGCCTTAGAAGTACATCTTATAAAAAGCACGACGATCACACTTGGTTATTCGGACCAGGTTGAAATAACGGCCAGGAAATTTAATAGAGATAGTCTGGGAGAACCTGGCAAGGTCAATGAATATGAAAGGAGGAGCTTGTTAGATATCCCGGTTTTGTGCAAAGAACTGTGAGAGATGATGGCAGAATAGAAAAAAATTAGAAGCGTTAAAAAAGAACTGTTTTTGAAATTTCCACACTATAATCTTTTGGTTTATTATTTTTCTTTTTTTAACAGTGAAGGAGGGTGCAGCACGTCTTCAGCAGCAGTGGACCCGGTAAAGGAGAGGAAGTACCTGGTGACTGCATCACAGCTGCTGCTGCTGTTTTCGGTTTGCATCAAATGCCTGGCTCCGACACGGACGAAGCTGACACATCGAGGGACCCTTGTGCACGCCGTCATCACGTGTGCACGAGGGCACAAGACTGTGTGGGAGAACCAGCCCAGAATCAACAGCAAGGCACTCCTCAACATCCTGCTGCCTGCTGCCATCACCTACTCTGGAGCCAGCCCAACGCGCGTTCTTCGCCTCCTGGGATCTATAGGCGTGCAAGTCTTGAAGAAGACTCAGTTCTTCCGGGTGCAGAGCTCTTTGGTCTTTCCTGCTGCTACAAAGGTGAGCAGAAGTGACTACAAGATTGTCCGTTCATTAAACATGTTCACTGATTGAGCCTGACACTGAGTTTTCTTGTTTCAAAGACCTGGGAAGCTGAACAGGAGTCTCTCCTGACAGCCACGAAAGACAAGCTCCACCTTGCAGGCGATGGGCGTGCTGACTCGCCTGGTTACTCTGCCAAGTATGGGACGTATACACTGCTTGACACCCGCATCAACAAGATCATGCACTACGAGGTTCTTCAGGTAAGAAGTGGCTAAATATAAGATGACCTCAATGCATCACATGGATCAGGTATGCATTTTACGGCACCTTTTTCTACCCTAGTCGACAGAAGTCAAGTCGAGCAACCACATGGAGACGGAGGGCCTGAAACGTTCTCTGGACTTCCTCCTGAGCATGGGGCTGTCTGTGTATGTTCTTGTGACCGACCGGCACTTTGGGGTGAATGCCCTGATGAGAGACAGGTACCCCGACACGAAGCACCGGTTCGACGCATGGCATGTCGCAAAAGGTAATAGTATTGATAACTCCAATACCCCTGTACATGGGCCGTTTTAACAATCATTGAGTCAAGGATCATGGACATCTCACTGAGTTCAACTAAGTTGCCTGGTGCTACGCGGTACATGGGCCTAATGACCCGAGTTCTGATGCACGTCACGTGACCCACATGATAGAAAAAAAGGTATTGAGGATAATTGTGTGTAACATGTTTCACAAAACACACACAAAAAAAAGTTTAACTTGACATATACTGTAAACAACTTAAATTTCACGAATCGCGCATTTTGAGATCCCACCATGTCGCAAAAATGAAAACCCACAAATTATTCCAAAAATTCAGCTTTGACCTAAATCTTAAAATATTGAGCCTGCAAAAAATAAGTCGTTCAGAGTGATAGATTTTAGTTTATTTTGAGAACAAAGAAAACGAAAATTGGAATATTTCACAGAAATTTAAAGCAAGAGTGACAACGAAAGTCTTACTGCCACCGACATCACAATGGCCGCACTTCCTCGACGTTTCGCAATAGTTTTAGTGGTAGCTCTGACTTCGTATCATACCTCTTCTGATAATATTTGCTGCTATGATAATTTTTAGATACCTTCTTCTGCAATAGTAAATGCTTCGCTAGCACTGGCTATCAGTGGTGAATGCTGCCATCTTTAGCTCTGTTGGGGTGAACCCCCATCAGTTAACTGAGGTAGGCGAGCTCAGTTGAATTCAATGATCGTTAGCGGCTTGATGGTAGATGGCACTGCTGTGTAACACCGCCCGATCACGATTGAGTTAATGATCGCTGGCGCAATGAACTATAGTGCAACATGCTTTGTTGTCAAGATACATGTGGCATTATTCAAACGTCATATGGTATACTAAAGTTGACGATGTTGTCCATGCTGCACCAGTATCTAGATGCAATTTTACTATAGCTTCATATATTTAGTGTATCTAATATCAAAACTTGTTTTCCAAACTAGACTGGTGCTGAGCTAATAATCATGGAGGCTTTCTAATTTATAGGCATTGGGAGCAAGATGGCCTCTGCAGGCAAGACAAAGAAGAACAGCATCTTGAATGCATGGGTGAAGACTGTACGTGGACACGTCTACTGGTGTGCACAGACCAGCAGTGACAATGGCGCGCTGGTGCTCGCAAAATGGGTGTCCGTAATGCGACACGTGAGCAACGTCCATCAGCACCCCAGCCCCCTGTACCCTGCGTGCACCCATGGCCCAATCGAAGAGCGCTGGTGGCTTCAGGAAGGTAAAAAAAATTCATTCTTTAAACATTCATAACATTCTTTTCACTCCAGTTGTCGGCGAAGCTTTCATAACAAGGACAGACTTCCTTTGGCTGCTCTGGCCAGTCTACAATCAAATAGCACAAGGAGGAATCGGAGATGAATGCAAGTGTTTCCAGATGGGGGATCAGCATACCAGATTGTGTTTCGGATAACTCGTATGCTCCCCCCCCCCCCCTTTTCCGCTCTGCATTTCACACCTGCGGAATTCAAAAGGAGGGTCAGGATATCCCCCCCCCCCTTCTAGACCTGCCGATGGGAGGACTCCATCTCATATCCAGCTCATAGTACTGAGCGGACATTTCAATTACATCAAGAGGCTTAAACTGCATGTTTTTAGCCTTATATTTCAAGAAAAACACTCCACTTTTGAGGTCATGAAAAGACACAGAATGAGGAAGTGAAGACCGACTTGTAACATGCAAAAGACGCATAAAAAGGAAAATTGCAGATTATATGAAAATTATTTATGCAGAATTACTGAGCAGAGATCTAGCTTCTGCAGAGATGGATAAAAAATAAAATGGCAGTTGCATCACGTATACAACACAAAAAAGTGATTTGTGGACAGGCTGCAATGGGCACTGGCTTTGCTGTTTAACCTTTTGGGTGCCACCAGGAGTATACTCGGCTGCGCTCTGGCTTACCTGCTCAGTCATTATCGATATAAACTCAGCACTTACAAGGGTCAGGGTGTCTAGAGACCGGCAAAACCGGGAATTGTCAGGGGAAATTTAATTACCAGGAAAAATCGGGGGACTGTCAGGGATATTGCCAAAGAGCGAGCCGAGTCAGGGAAAATGTGCCGGAAACGCTATCGAGTGCCCTGAGCAAAGACTTGAAAACCTGTGGGCAGAAAAATAGGTAATAAATTCTGCTTGGAGCGGAGCCCGCGGGCCCTGCTCAATTGATGTAGAGTGTAATACCCGATGCAAAGGGAACCGCCGACAAATCCAGTAAAAGCCTTGGATTGGATTGAGGGCGCGACACTAGACTAGATCCAGTTAGAGCTACTAGATTTATTATTATTAACAAATGGGAAAGCTGCAGACCCCAATACAATCCAAGCCAAAAGTATACGAAAGTGTGCATCTGGCGGCTATGCCATGCTGCCATTCGTAATTATTAACATGTCTGGTTCAGCGTCATGTTTTTATTGTGTTTCTGGAAGTGGCTTCTTCACTGACTATGTCAGGGGGCAAGAAAGTGCTCATTTAATCCGGACAGGACGAACCCAAATATTTCGGAATATGCAAGTTGGGTTCAGCCCGTGCGAAAGTATTGTTACAGTTCTGAATGCTCAATGCCTTGTGTTGTAATGATCTGATATATTTAACCACCTCTACAATGGTCAGGGACCGTTGTAGAGTTGCAATAACCTGCTAGACACCCTGAGGGTTATTTCGGTACTTTCTCTTATCGCAGGGACCGAGCCATACGTGGCTCTCGAAAAGATCGTCATGTCCAAGCAACTGCTCAAGGACATTCCAAGGGTGTCTGGAGACGGTCAGACCTATCGCCTAGAGTCGTTCCACAGCATGCTGCTCCGGTTTACTCCGAAATCCAGTCATTTCAGTTTTGAGGGCATGGTGGCACGGTAAGCAGGCATCCTGATATATGCTAGTGATATTTGTTTATTTATGAGCCTTTTCTGAAATTTCTACTGTGCACCACTCACGCAGAAAATTCTGGGGATGCACTTATGTACACTAGCAGATGAGCGAGTGCACATACTGTTTTTAGGAGCGAGGCCCTACGTCAATTTGTACAATCTTTATCTCCCTCGTCTTTAACCAGCTTCTCATAGTTACCGTAAGTCGAAGGGAAGCCATTTTTCATACATACTTGTGTCCGCACAATGGTGGCAAATTGCAGCGCATCTTGAACTGTAAACAACTTAATTTTCGCGAAGGCCTAATTTTTGTGAATCGCCTACAATTTGCGAAAAATATGTCCCGCAAACAATTTTGGTAGAATGTAAGCACATAAGAATCTACATTGAGATCCCATTGTGTCGCAAAACTTAGAACCTGCGAATTATTACAAAGCTTGAGCTTCGACCAAAATCAAGAAATATTGAGACCGCGAAAAATAAGTCGTTTACAGTAAATGAGAAGTGTCGACTTAATTTTGATCACAATAATAGTGAGTCAATCAATGAGAATAGGATGGGTTGCTAGTGTGTGAAACGATGCAGGGCCATATTCCCGAGGATGGTCTGCTAGCATACGACAGGTTGCCTGCCAGTGTGGATACGGTTACTAGCATGTGTTGTGCAGTATGAAAATTTCTGAAAAGTTCTAATATGAAATATGCTTGGGGCATGTTTACAGTCTTTCCTCCCCTTATATGCGGCCCTCACAGGACTGCCGTCGCGGTGCTCCACTACAATGAGAACAGCAACCGTGCGCAGGCCACAACGAAGGACGAAAAAAAGCGAAGTTGTCTGAAGTTTCCCAAGTCACGGAAAGGCGAATGGGTCCTCAGCCCCATCATGGAGACTGCGTCGTACGGTAAATACAGACACTTTTATTCAGACATTGGCTGCAGCTTGACTATCACACTTTCTTACTCAGACTACGTCCAGAGGCTCCTCAATTCCTGCCTGGAGTTGGCCAAGGCTTCCCGGACCTACCAGCAGGCTGTGGCTGCGAACGGGCCGCGTCCTCGTCGACCACCTCTGTGCAGCGTTGCACAAAGGCCAGACAAGGAAGCAGCGGTGTTGGCCCACAGGACCCGGTTCGATCAAGCATAGTGGAAGCCCGTGTATGTGGTCGATGGGAATTCTTTTCTTATCCTGGCCACCACACAGCACGGGAGCCTGACGCGGCGAAACCTGCCCAGTCGTCCCCAAATCCACCAGACGAACTGGCTGTATGCCGTGTACCTGTACCGTCTGAGAAAGTAACAGAAGAATTGGTAAGAGTCTTAGAAAGACTTCATCTGATACACTTTTACTGTGAACTTGGGGACCCTTTTGCCGCATCTCTATAGGAAAAGGCTTTTCGAAACCTGGAAAGCCCATGATATCTAGACATTTCTAGAAATTTCATGCGTGAAAACCTTTGCCGCTGCTTCTGGTGTGCTTTTATAGAGAAGAAATTCACTACTGCCTGTATGGGTGTTTCCTCGTTCTTGAGTGATTGACTGGACAGACAATTTTAAAATTCAATTAAATCTTTTAACTCGTTCATTCGCCTGTGGACTGCAAATTGCAGACTGATGATGAGAAGTCCCTCGACCTGAGGAACTCTCAGGTTGTGCGGGACCTGACCTGTAAGCCATGGTCCAAGGCAGTAATGTTTGGATGTCCCTCTCACCTCAATGTTGTTATTAGGAAGTCGCAGACAATCTCTGCTGTCACTTGACTACAGAAAGCAACCCCAGGCTACTTACTGAACTAGTTTGTTGCAAAACGGTAATGGTGAGAGAAGTTTGTAGAATAGTTCCACAGTGTCTGTTCCAAGCTGTTTCCATGCGCTTATTGGAAAAAGGACTGGTTGTAGAGGTGATCCTTCTTTCGCTGCTTACTTGTCGGTTGTCTGACATGCGTGACAGTATTTGGACAAGTATTGGCTTCGCTATCCATTCTGGGCCACCACAGAAGCATTCACATAGTTGTATTTTGGTTCACACCATTCGTCTGAGTGAAGCAGAAGGAACCAGCAGTTTTGCGTATAGCAGTAAGCCATATACAGAGGAAAGTTCTTTTCGTATCTTGTAGTGGGAGACAGTGCTGATTCCCATAGGTATTTGAGACCCCAACCCATGTTGACACACTATCACCCGAGGTAAATCGGGGTCTTGTTCTTTCTCTTTCTGTACCTCTTCTTGGTCAATTCAGCAGAGACTGCACACAGGGCAAGTGAATTTTCTTTTTTCGACGTATGGCTTCGTGCAATCTGAGGAATTAAATGCAGGAAGACGAGAAAGCTCGACTGCCACAACATTCTCATTGCCCTTTTGGTGATCTTGAGGAGACGCATGGCCACCCGGCAATTGTTATCGGTTGTCGACCGTTTCCCTAAATACAGAGTAGTGTAACCAGAGCCTGGTGGTCCATCCTGAGCATGAAATGGTGACCGAAGAGGAAAACATGATGCTTCTCGCAGGCCCAGAGGCACGCCTATTCCTCTAACTCTGCAGAGCGGTTGCACTGGGCGCTGGAAAGCAATCGCGATGTGAACAGGATAGTGTGAATTCCATCTGGATGTTTTGCTGTAGCACTGTGCCTAATCCATAATCCAATGAATCTTTTCTGACGATTGTAGAATTCTAACTGGAGAATTAAAAAAAAACTGACAAGTAAATTTCTCTTCAACCTGTGACGATAGCAGGCAGTGTCACGTCGAAAACTAAATGGAACAGTTTCGAATCGTGTTTTGACTGATGCAAATGCCACCTCTTGTGCTTTTTGCCATTATAAGGGGACATCTTTCCGCAGATGCACATGCAAGGGCCTCACGATGGTTGCAAAGTTAGGTATGAATTTGAAACGGTATGTAAGCAGGTCAAGCAAAGACCGGTTATGATGTCATGTCTCTGAGTAGAAGCTTGCATGGTGGCTTGAACATTATCATGGCATGGCTTAATTCCCTGAGGTGTCAACTTATGTCCAAGAAATTGAAGTTGCTGCACTGAAAAATGCATTTGTTTTTGTTTGGTTTCCAACCTGCGTCCTGTAGGCGGGGTAAGCCTTGTCTTAGGCGGGCATCATGCTCTTCAGTTGTGCAACTGAAGTTGAGCACATCATCCTGGATAGATTGACAATGGTGCCTGTTGTGTCCCAAAGAATACAGTTCTTTATATTTTGAAAAGCCGGAGCAGTGGAAGCCAGCCCAAAACATACTGTGAACAGGAAGAGACTTTTTGAGTCACGAACGCAATGAGGTCCCCGCTCTCCTCTATCAGGTTCAGCTAGTGGTACGCTGACGAGAGGTCCCACTGGTTGAAGATGTGGGTGCCAGAAAGCTGGTGAAGGAGCTCGTTTGGACACAGAAGAGGACGTGAATTGAGAACAACAGAGGTGTTTGATTTGCGGAAGTGGTCTGTGATGCATTATTGCGCTCGATCACCCAGGAGTGCTCCAACTTTGCCGGCTCTACAGGAACTTTGTCATGCACTGCAAAAGTTATCCTTCATAGATTCTGTTGCACCAGACTGATGGACACTTCGTCTTCACCTTGTGAACATACCCAATGGCGTGGCCCATACCTGAGAACAGCTGGAGGAAACCTTTGACGGCCTCTGGAAGGTCGTTTGCCGAAATGATAGTCACCTGTCATCCGCAGGAGATGAAAAGTCCAGTTGAATTTCCAACCCTTGTAAAGCATTTATAGTCCCATTAGGGCTGTCTTGTTCGGACGACGTGGAACGTGCAATCGCCATTACTTTGCGCCAACTGTACTGGTGAGCTGGCTTTTTCCAAAATGTTTGGAATAGCAATGTTTTCTTACGGAGTAGCCAATGAATGCAGTACTTGTAGGTTGCAACTTACAAGAATGGAAGCATCTTCTGTAGACGCTTTCCAGAAGGATTGAAACCGAGGGTCTTGTGTCTACTAGGAGTTTGATAAAAAGGAACGCAAGTATCCTGCATGTGGTACAGTTTGCTAATATCCGAGTTGCTATATTTCAGTTTGTTCTATGCTTGGTACTTGTGATCCTGTCAAAACTGTTTGCTTGCAAACAAAGGCAAAATGTCCAATCTTTCATTTTCTGCATGCTTGATTCCTTGCAGGACGTTTAGGGTAGTCTGCCATGTGGCACATTGAACCAGATCTGCAGTAAATGCTGGACGACCTTTGATTGGGTGTTTTGCCCCTAACTATTGGTTTCTTTTGGGCTTGAATCTTTGCCACTTGAAAACTGAGTCCCGCATCTTTGGTAAAAACTTTGGCCTCCTTCATCGCCCGCTGAACTTTTTAGGTGATGGCAAGAGCTGATTCGAGTGGTAGCTCAAGCTCTAGTAGTGGGCGGTTTCATACTTCGGCATGAATTGTCTTATTGACAAGTTGATTGCAGATTATTTCATCTGTTATTGTCCCAAACCAGCAGTTTGTCGCAAGGCCCCGGAGAACGTGACACACTCTTGTACTGTTTTGGCCGGTCATCCACGTGTGCAACGAAAAGTAAATCTTTCCAATGTTTTACTGTCAAGAATTTTTGTAACTCTCTTGCCACTGCATCATAGGCTCTGGAAATGGGCGATGCAGGTCTGCGCGATTCGGAGGTAGCTCCTGCAGTACTTGCACTTAGATGAGTGGTAGCAGTGGACAAGGCAGAATCTTCCGGCAGTTTGCAGTAGATCCGCTGACTCTCAACTTCAAGTGAGCTAAATAGAATGGCAGTTCTGCCATTATCTATTGTCGACCCATTGGAAGGGATCGTGTACTGGCGTACCATTCCTCCATGAAATCGCAGGCTCGCCTGGGTATGGTAGGAAAGACGGGTGAATCAACCTTTATAATCGAGTTGAAGCTGTCGATTGTGACAATTGTTATGTATAGGGACTGTCTATGCAAGTTTAACAGAAGGCAAGCTGTTCCCATTCAGAGCTCAGTTCGTTCATTCTTATTCATTGTCTTCTTCGGCTCAACCTACACGTAGACACAACAATTTAGGTAATTCAATATTCCCCCCTCCCCCAAAACAAACACCTGGCTATGTGCCTTCTTCGATCCAAGGTACCATGAGCACAACTAACGTTTGCAATATTCGCGACTCCAGCTTAGTCTAGGGGGTGTGCTGGTCAGGCAAAATGGCGGACAAAAGGACGTCGTTTTCATCGTTCAGCACGCGGACCACCATAAATATCTTGCATTGCAGCATAACATCTGTGTTACATAAGAAAGCAAAACGATTTTTCGACAGTAGAAACCTTCTAATCAATGCATGGGAATGACATGGCAGAAGCATAAAAATAATCACTGGAAACAGTGTTTGTTTCTACGCTGCCTACAAGAACCAAGCTGTGATAGCAGAAGACAGAATCAAAATGACCTCCTCTCTGGAGCTTCTCGGCGGTGCCGCTACGCAGCGTCGATAGATTTTGTTGGAGTCGCCAATACACTAAGCGGGATTTACAGACTGTCTTACAGTGTAGTGCATTTATATTTGATATGCTATAAAAGTTCTGGTCTTACTTGTTCCGATCCCGAGCTGCTGGCTCCAAATATGTTGGGCGAAAAAATTTCAGCTGGTCGTACGCTATGTTCAGCAGTCGCACATCCAGACATACGAGCAGAAAAAGTTCATTTTCTGTGACACACCTTCCCAAGTTTTTTTGTGTGATTTTTGGCATGTCCCTGCAGCATTGCCCGACCTCCTGGGGGCAATTTCCACATGTGCATCTGAAAGAGGATACATTTCAGTTGAAAAATTATCTTCTATGCTTATGTGAAAAGGGAGCTTGAGGCAGATGTGAGAGTGGCGTGCCAACGTTTCACTAGGAGACCTGCCTTGTTCAGGAGACCTAACCCTGAAGAAGGTAGGTTTCCTAATGAAGTATCAGCACGCCGTTCTGAGGTCCACCTGAGAGGTTAGGTCTTCACATTCTTCCTGCCAGCCTGGACTCCCTTGGTGCTATGTTTGTACTTTCTATAGTTCTGGTCACCCCAGAAAATGCAAGTTGCACAAATAGTTCTTATCTGCATAATGTAGTTCGTACTGGACTTGGGACTCCTGGCTTTCCTGTTGCTGGCTATCACGTCGTTCCCTTGCTGGCAATGGGGGATCAAAGTTGTACGGATCAGGTACATATATAGCTCCTTGCTGCAGGCCTCCCAAGTCTGCTCCAAGCGGCAGGCTGTCGTCGTCGGACATAGATACTGAAAATAAAGCATTTGGATCAATGAAACATTTGATTATGTATGATCAGTTACATTTATTTTTCTCTGACGGTTGCATTAGCTCTGGCAAAGTGTTGTAAACAAGAATGTTTAGTAGGAGTTATTTTAATCGAGTAGTGTAAATTACACATGTGTATTACTTTGTTGTGCTGGTTTTGTGGGAATTGTGTGTATGTGATTGTTCTTACCAAGCTATGGTATCAATAAAAATGAAACAATAATTGCACCCTCTTTTTTGGTCCTTGACATTTGCATAGGTGGCTACATGTGATTACTTATGCTCATGCCACTAATTTGCTGTTACCCTCTAACAAAGAACAAAACAAAACAAAAAAAAACGTGCGTGCAAATATTAGCTACACTCTGAAAACAAACAAATGTGCACTGAAGCTTAATTATCGCAGCATTGATCATTTTCGCGGACACTTTTGCTATTGACAACAAACGTGTAGTCTGTCGTACAGCTCTATAAAGGTGCACAATTGGGCTACTAAATTTGGAAATATGTGCGGTCAAACCAGTCAAACGCACACCGCCTTGGCCGCACTACGCGCCGGGCGTTTCCGTGTGTACGAGTAAATGTCTAGCGCCTGTAGAAACAAGCGGCGAGAAAACTTCGCCATTTTCGGGAAAAGATGCGCAAATTTGGGGGTTTACGTGCCAACCCAACGAGGGGTACCTAGCACGTCCCAACGGAGGTCTGATTATTAATTTGGACCACTTCGCAATCTTTTGACGGGCAACCGATATCTCGGTTACACGGCGCCTTCTCGGTAATAAGCAAGCGTAAAATTACGAGCATCTCGGTCGGGATTCTAACCCGCCAACTGGGGATACGCAAGCTGACCTATGTTCCGGGACAACATTTTGTGGCATATCGGAAAAATTAGAGCGCGAGTACACAGCTTTCGCCAGCGCTGAAAACCCTTCCTGACGAAATGTCTGGTGATGCCAAACCTTCGACGGCACATAAACGATAACTGAAAGAAGAGTTAGGGCACGGGCGAGCTGGTGACCGAAGACACGGAAAGACGATTATGTGGCACGTCACCTCGCACAGCAAAGCTTCGTGGGATGTGTGACGGTTGTAACTAAGCTCTAATGTATCAACTTCGTGAGGACAAACGAATGCACCACACTGTTGATTTTACTACAGTTCTTTTGTTCCAGCGGGCATTGGCCGTGGCACGCTCGTACGTAGTACATATACATGTATTGTTTACTCTATTTCAGCTTCTGAAATGCCTACGAAACATACGCTTGAGAAAACTTGCCTTTTCTGTAAAGAAGCGCTAGCTTCGTCCCCGGTGGTGAAGACGTCGTTGGATGCTGTAGAGAGCTAGGTTGGCGAAAAGTGCGGAGCAGACGACACTGGCGCTTGCTCCCCGCTCGCCCGCCCGTCCGCGATCGTGGAGAGATTCACGTGACGGCTCGAACCACGTGGTTCGTCATAACGTGCACATGCCTCTGACGACACGAGACCAATGTTGCCTGTCTCATTCAAAGTTTCGGTTTCGGTTGCTGCTAATGTTGAAAATACGATTACACAAAAAATATTTCACATTTCGCGAATCCAAAGACGTCAAGTTGTTCATCAGTGCTTTGGGAAGTGGAATCACAAGTAATCCCAATTTTTCTGGAATTGAGCGGAGTTGCCCTTTAAGGAAAAGTGCATGTTACGATGTGTGGTTTGTTCGCTCTGTCAAAATAGTTTTATTGCCCTGCAGTTGTCGAAGACTGAACTGATTTAGTAAATGGATCGATATTTAAAGGCATTTTGTATTTTTGCTTTCTATCCCCTTCTATTACAACACTTCCAACAACAATCTTTTTGCTGCAAATATTTGTCTGTGTTATAATAACAGTTAAAATAGTTTTTATGGCACTTTAACGAACTGCGGGATTTTCTATAGTACTTGCATTGTATTTTACAAGGTGATGAACCACAATCACCTGCTCCAAAAGCTGAAATCGGAGGGGGGGACACGCTACCACAGCCATGATGGAGCACTCACACATATTTTTGTTGGAAACTATACTTCTGAACATCGCCAGCAATGACAGGGCCCATGTGCTGGACGGACCATGGGACGCCACTGAACCGATCATTCTCGAGCCAACCACGGGAAAACAGCGGCTCCCAGGACCCATCCTGGTGGATTTCAAGTTGGGAGCATTAGGAGCCTGCCAGCATTGGTCGTCAGTTGCGACGCCTCTACAAAAGCCGCTATCCCATGCCGGTCATTCGGGGCACGCTACCACAGCCGTGATGGAGCACTCGAACATCTTTTTGCTGCAGGTCGGTTATTTGAAAACTTCAGCTTGCTGTCATTCTAGCAACTAATGTCTGCTAGTGGTATTGTGGCCCAGTGATTGCCAAATTTAACACAGCTCTCTCAACTTTTTGACAATTATGTTGTAATTTTTTTTTTATTGTAAGTTAATGACAACTAGTTACTTTCCGAACAAAAGTGGCTAGAATTTATTCTTGCCTTTGTTCTATGTGTTCGTGTTTGGTTAGACAGCACTAATCCCCGGTACAAGGAGGTTTTGAAAACTAGGGCAAAAGAAAGAAAATACTATTTAAGATAGCCAAAAACTCGAATTTCGAGGCAGCCTGAACCAAATATAACTCTTGGGTCAAACTCTGTATCGAACGTGTGCATTTTTTTGAAGACAAATTTTATAACTGTGACCTGCCTTCAATATTAAAGAATAACTAAAAAACGTTTTGGAAACTTATTTTCCCATATCAGTAATCCCTTCAATACTCTTGATGAACAATGATGGCAGTGTTATTTCGGACGCTGTATGTCCTACGGTTTTGAATAATTGCTTTTAGTCTACTTTTACTGATGGAGATAGTTCCTTCTTACCTTTTGTACCAGATGTCGATTTTAGGTATATTGACCCTATTTCTATTACACCGTCTGCAATTGCGATATTAATGATAACCTCAAAATTTTTAGCTCGGCTGCTCTCGACTCAATTAAAACAAAAATTCTAAAGAGTATCAAGGGTGTAACCAGTGAAATATAATCACAAACAATAGGTGACGAGGCGACGTAAAACTGAACAAAATGAACGTTTAATGGGGCAAACTTTGCCCAAATCAAAAGGAAATAACAGCACGTCGGAGACGTCGAGTGTCTTTAATACCACAGGGTCGAGCACAAGCGATAACTGATTGCATAAGGCCACGCGGGGCTTCTTTTGTAGCACTCTCCTTTCTGGAACATTCTGTACTCGAACATTCTGTACTCAAACATTCCGTACTAGAACATTCCGTTCTAGAATTAATGACGGCCTTCTCAAATTTTCTAGAAGCGCATCGTCTTAGGAGTAAATAAAAACATCTGCCGTCCCAGGATTCAAACCCGGGACCTCTGCATGACAGTCGGGCGCGGTGCACACTGGGCTACCCCTAAGCACGCAGTGATATGCAGTCTACTTTTCCAGCATCCGTTTACTGGTTGCATCCCACCCGAGTGGAAGGTTGGGAAGGTCGTTCCAATCTACAAAAGTGGCAGCTGTCACTTTGCGGGAAGCTACCGTCTCATATCATTCATTAACCAGCGTTGTATGCAAGTTGTTAGAACTCGAAATATTTTCTATCGTAGTATCGCATCTGGAATCTACTAACCACTTTTTCTACCAAAATCAATACAGGTTCGTAAAAGATATTCATGCTAGAGGCAGTTGCTGGAGTTCACCCATGATATTCATGTTAATATGAACACTAACTCCCAAGTATGATGCCATATTTTTTTATTACTCTAAGGCTTTCGATCATGTATCTCACTGTCGTTCAATATCAAAACTTTCCTCACTGAATCTTGATTCTCTCACTTTATCATGGGTTCGAAATTTTCTTCATGAAAAACAGCACGAAAGGGAATAGGACAAAAAAAGAAGGACTACACAGGATAAGTGCTGACTAACAACTGATTTTTCATTGGAATGTGTAGATGACACTATGTTCGCTCGGGCATAGGGCGCACCGTGGATTTGGCACTTCTTTCTTCTTTATTGCACACACCACATGCTAACCAAGATCCAGAAAATGAATCTCACTGTTCGTTGGAGTCACTGAAGGTTGACTCACTCGAGATGGTCTCTTTTTTATTATGTAATAGGTTTCCTTCATTTCTCTATACATTTGGTCTTGGTGTTTAAACAATACAATGGTGTTGGAGAACTGTGGTTTGCACCCGCAATCATGACAGTGCACCGCTAAATGCTAGTATGCGGTCCCTTGCAGTCAGCTTTGGTGTTCTCAGAGTTCGATGTTCAGGCATCGCCCGGTCACCCAGGTATCTTGGTCACCAGATAAAAATCAGAAACATTAAAAGATAAATTTTTGTAATTATTGGAGCTTTAAATATTCTGAAATGTTTTCTGTATGTCCAGTTATCTATGGTGCTGTCATGTAATGAATATTCTAACTTGTCTAATTTCTGTCTTGGCCCTTTTCAAGCAATTTCATTTGGGTTTACAGCTTTCTCAAATCACACTGGCACCTGCAGTGCACTTACGTGTAACTCATAGTTTGCAGGTATCGGGTGGTTTAGTTTGTCATTGCATTCTGTTCAGAACCTAACAACATTCCACATTTTTTGTTTTTCTTTGTTCCGGAGGTTCTATAGTTGTTCATATAGACTTGATTGCTGTGTAAGGTACGTACATTGCCTTCCCCTTAAAAGCTGGACGTAACCCACTAATTATTTTTCAAGAATAAAGATACGAACATGTTTTACTCAGTGCTGCATCTTGTGTGCACTTGCTTGAAATTTCTTACTAACACGGTGTTCGAACACCTATCTCTGGGAGGTGCACTTGGCAGTAACCTCTGAAATTAACTGGTGACAGCAGGCTTGAAGAAACTCATTGAATGTGGAAATTTCATCTTGAAAAGTATTTTTCGAATTTGCCTTGTTAAAATGGTTTCATAGCATAGCCACAACTTGGTTTCGCTGTTTAGTGCCTGCCAGAATGATCTGAGTTACCTGCACTGCGCTTATGTATAACTCATAGTTTGCAAAAATCGGGAGGTTTAGTTTGTCATTGCATTCTGTTCAGAGCCTAATCACATTCCACTTTTTTTTTCATGTTCTGTAGTTCTCCATATGGACGTGATTGCTCTGGAAGTTAGAGATTGCCTTCCACATAAAAGCTGGACATGGCCCACTAATTATTTCTCAAGAATAAAGGTATGAACAGGTTTTA